AACATAAAATCTATCTTTTTTGTTTGGTCATGCAGGCTTGGGTGACATTTCCTGCAAATCTTACATCTTAAATCATTCATTTTAACTTCAATATTGTTCACAGGAGCCAGACACTTTATTCACATCCATGAAGGAGTGTGTATGTCACTGCATCATATTCAAGCGGGGAGCTGTGTCATTTTGTACAAGCAAAAAGGGGACTTGAGTCAATATATAAAATCTATCTTTTTTGTTATAGAGTCAAACTTCAAAACAAGATTCCATAAATGAAGTCTTCTTTAAAGGTCTGCATCCTGTTGTTTTGATTCTGAGAGAGGATTAAGGTTAACTCCATCAAGACACTGAATATTTCAGTGCCCATTTCATTATTTCAAGCACAACACAATTTAATTGACACGGTCCTTCAATTAAGAAAATTAACTTTGTTTTTCTTCTACTGACATGCTGCAATAATATTTTTCCATCCTTTGTATTAGATACATTGTAAGATAAAAACTTTTAAGCAGTAATTTTTGTAAGTCAGTGTCATTTCGAGCGTAAGAGTTGACTTTTATCAACATGAGAGACCTAAGTTTTCCAGGTTGATATTTGGTGTAATGTCTGTGGTCTACTTGAACTTGCATGGTCATGCAGGCTTGGGTGACATTTCCTGCAGATCTTACATCTTAAATCATTCATTTTAACTTCAATATTGTTCACAGGAGCCAGACACTTTATTCACATCCATGAAGAAGTGTGTATGTTGCTGCATCATATTCAAGCGGGGACTTGTGTCATTTTGTACAAGCAAAAAGGGGACTTGAGTCAATATATAAAATCTATCTTTTTTGTTATAGAGTCAAACTTCAAAACAAGATTCCATACATGAAGTCTTCTTTAAAGGTCTGCATCCTGTTGTTTTGATTCTGAGAGAGGAATAAGGTTAACTCCATCAAGACACTGAATATTTCAGCACCCTATGAGGTCTTTTTATGATGGATCTGAGAGAGGCATTAGCAGTTAGTGTAAATATCACATTTTTGACTACAATATGCGATCTGTGATTCATATCCAAATAGATTAGTTTTTCTCTTCAAGATAGATTCATGCAATGCAAGATTTCTGCATAATGTGTATTTTCAAGAAAATTCATTGAATACTCACTACAGATTGTACTAGAGGGTCCCCTCTTGTACTGTCAAAACTGACAGAAGCCAACATTTACACGTAATTATTCATGAGTAAGAACACAAGAGCAAATCAGCACATTATCCTTTAAAAAAAAAAAAGAAAAAGGAATTTTAGAATTTTTAGAATTTCATCTGACCTCATGAATGAGTCTGAAATGAATGCCCTGAAGATGCCTGAACAGCCACAGCAAAGTGTAGTAGATGCATGCTTCAAAACCTGTCTTAGATTGACAAATGTTTTTTCTCCACTTACATTATTTAAAGGATATACAAATAAGATATAAACCATAGGAGGATGGGAGCTCTCTCTATAATCCATCACACACAGGTCATAAAAATGACCACAACACAGAAGAATATGAATTCCCCCAAGAAACGTTTAGAAATTGAAATTAAAAAATGTCTTCATGATTGTTTTAATATGTGTATCACAGAGAAATGTGTAAATATTGATAACATTAAAGTGAAATCTGTTTTTGAAAGAAACAAAGAAAGTCTTTACAGTAAACAAACACTGTGAAAGACTGAGCACAGACAGTTACAGTGAAGCATATGGAGGTCCCCTCTTTGAGAGGTAGACATCGCTCGTGGATAAAAGTCCCCTCTTGGCAATTTCTTTAAAAAAAATTAAAAAGCACATTTGCAGTAATATTATGGTAAAAGAGCTTAAAAGTTAATGTTCAGTTCTATTTTTGTATTTTTAAAATGCCCAGAAACTGAAGTCCACTGTTGGCAAATGTAACTCAATAGTGCACTGTTGGTCAGGTTTGCTTGTATGTGTGTGTGTGTGTGTCTGTCGGTCTGTCGGTCTGTGTCTGTGTGTGTCATACTTCTACTGTTATTATACACATATGATTATTGTCACATAGTGGGGCGGCAGTGGCTCAGTCCATAGGGACTTGGGTTGGGAACCGGAGGGTCGCCTGTTCGAGTCCCTGTCCAGACCAAAATATGGAGCGTGGACTGGTGGCTGGACTGGTAAGTAAGATTTCGCCTCAAAAATGCTCTTTCTTCAAAATCCTTAAAAAAACAACACGTCCTACACCGTTTATCGTAACGGCTTCAAACTCGCATACATGACAGATCAACTTGTCCTAATCAGATGTTCTGTATAACTTTTTCATTACTCGAATGGTTTGGATTTTATGAAATCTTGATGTCTTACAAAATCTCCTGACGATTTTCGCGCCACCTAGACACACTAAAATGCCCGCTGCGAACCATACGAATGTCGTAGAAAGACAAAACCAAAACTGGTTTGTTCGTCTCATCAAGACCTATAAATCATGCACTGTAACCACTGACCTAAATACAACAGGAAGTGAGCTATTTGCCCTTTCAAAGAAAGATGCCATTTTTCAAAAATTCTCTTACTAAAAAAATATTTCCTCCTACACCATTTATTGTATCGACTTCAAACATGCACACATGATAGACCATGCCCTGCTAAACAATTCCTCTGAACAATTTTGTCATTACTCGAACAGTTTGGATTTTATGCCCTCTTTAAGGTGACATGTCACAAAACCTCTTGACAATTTCTGCGACACATAGACACAGTAAAATGGCTGCTGCTGCCTGTACGAATGCTGTAGAAAGATTGAATTAAAACTGGTCACACACACCTGACAGGATAACATTGACCAAACTGACCAGCTCATGTGTCTCATTCCTACAATTTCCTAAATAAATGTCTGATAGCAAAAACATGTAAATTCAAGATTTCCAGGTCAAACTCTTTTGCCTCATTTAGAATTTGAATCAAATCTGTAGCTAAAACTGTGCTTCAGCAGTACACGATCAAATACATGTAGTCCTGCTCAGTTTCTCCACTGAAATTAACTAGTATATATTTGTGTCTGCCTGCTGTTACTTATATCCTCACATCAGCCAGTACACATCAATCAAGCTTTCACTAGGCCACGTGATGTAAAATTAATATGGATGTGTCGTTTGTTCATCACACAAGTCAAAGTTTCATTAGGTCACATGGCTTATGTCTACAACTTTCAAAATATAACCTCACACCACAAATGAGCGCATTCATTTGTTTTACACCCAAGCTCTTCAACAGGTCAAGAGGTTTTAAATTACTTTAAAAATGACCTTAAAAGTATTTCCATTTATTTTCATCAATGTTTGTAACACTCTATTATGGACTTGTACTTGAAATGAGGTAATTTGCTGTAACCCTCCAGCTCATTTCAAGTACAAGTCCATAATAGAGTGTTACAAACATCAGGAAAGTATACACATCTTTGAGGAAATGTTACACTCCAAAATTACAAGCTCCTTTGTTTAATCACCACTTTAGTCTTTTTAAAAATTGTTTTCTTTTATGATTTACTCTCCTTTATAATTCATGTTTTATCCCATTTTAATATTTGTTGTCTGTCACCACAGACCTTTGTCTTTTACAGTACATGGGGAACACTTCAATTCTTAACAGTATGACAGACACCATGTTGTTGTTAACATTATATATCATTACAGTGTATTTTATTTCAATGTGGATGTTTGGAGAAGACATTTTGTTTCCATAGCTGACATATCGAAGTTACATTTTAGTTAATACATCGGTTGAAAATTAAATACATATTGTAATGTATTGTAATATAAAGTCCCTCTATTGCCAAAATTGACCTTGCGTTCTATCGACATTGCTTGTTTTATCGACATTTCTTACGAATAATTTGCACTGTCTACGTGAGCTGGAGGCCGATAGCGAGAGTCCAAGGTCCCGCCCAACGCTGCTTGCAGCTTTAATTATTATTATTATTATAAATTAAATATTGTATTGTAAATATTGAAATCTTTGATCTGACTCTTTCCCCTTGACTGCTGTAACACTGGATCAATAAAGGTGTATCTTATCTTATCTAATCATATCTTATCTTATCTTAATTAGTATTTCAAATGATGTAGTATAGTTGTCTTCCAGATTCTAATAATTATTCTGAATTACCTTGGTGGAGCATTTGAGGAGGCTAGTGGCAGGGTCAGTTTTGGGGGTGCTGAGGATGGACCTGGGGGCAGACCTGTGTGGAGCTCCCTCCCTCTTCTCCCTCCTCCTCCTCTTGAACTCGTATCCCTGAGCAGTCCACAGGCTTCACCTCCTTCTCTTCTATTTCTGTTTCCATTGCTCCTTTGTCTGGGTGCTACCAAGCTGCTGCTTTCTCCTCCTGTTCCCCCTCTTTTCATTTCTTCTTCCTCATCCTCCCTCTCTTCGTCCCACAGCAGTAGTGCAGCTCCTGCCTCCACCAGCTGCTGTCTCTCAGGGAGGGATAGCAGTTTTTCCAGGGCCACAGATTCATGTCCAAGGGAAGCAAGGTCGGCACGAGGAGCATCCAGCTCTGTGTCCTGTGACAGGACACCTGTACTGGAGCTGAGGGAACGGAGGAGGAGGCGCAGATGCTGCCTCCGAGCTGGATGGAGCAAGAGAAGAAGACAGTGATGGCTCAGTTACTCTTTGTTTTAATTATAAAAAGAAGAGTGAAATACAATTCTACTTTTTTATTTGCTATAACTAAGTAGTTTTATTTTTAAGCAACTGCCCTGGAACCCTGGACAGTCTGAGGGCCTAAAAGGCCCAAGTATGGCAATAAGTTAGGGTATATTACATGTCAAAATCTTCTAAAACTTTAGGTTGATGAGTTGTTGTGAATGTAAGGAAATCAGTGTGTATGCTAAGTCTGTCATAATTCATACTTCAGTGTCTGTTAATGAACTGAATATATAAGGCAAACATACCTAGGGTCAGCCAGGGGATACGCAGCACTCTGTTGAGCTCTCTGGCTGGTGAGCTGTTGGTTGATCTGGGGTCAGTGGGAAGCTCGAAGTTGAGAATGAACATGATGACCAGCCCGTCTTCATTCTTCACTGGAACCACATCTATTGCGCAATGGAAACACACTCCTGCAGGGACAGGCAGACACACAGGAGAAGAATGATGAAAGTTCCTTGCCCTCATCTCATGAGATGTGAGCAGCTTCTGTATGGGACAGGAAGATAGGAGTCAGTTGATTCATGCCATTCTGAACAATTCCTCTTAAAGCCACAGTGTGTAGGAATTTCTCCCATCTAACGTTGAAATCCTATATTGCATTCAGACGGATAGCGCACTCTAGTGCCTCACTGTTTCAAACACATATTGGAACAACGGTACCAAAAAACTATGATAACACTGATGAAATCATGTCATCCGATACTCCATGGAGTTTTCATTCAGGCTCCTACACAGACACACGCAACGTGAATTGACAAACCCCCCTCCTCACCATGCTGGCTGTGTTTACAACGTAGGTCTGCTGGGGCAGGTATAGATCGGAAAAAAACAATCACGTCTTGTCTTTTGAAAACTGACAAGTGGCTCAACCTCACATGCCTCCTCGCATCACTGCGCCGCTGATAGCGGCCTGTGATAGCATTACCTTTCTCCAGCAGCTCTTTCCACCTGGGAAAGGCTACCCCGATGTTGACCCTCATTTTTTAATTAACCAGTCACGTTGCCTTTTTGATTCCCTCTTCCCTCCCGCCCTATGTACAAACAAATCCGAAATTCTCCTTTTCTGTAACTAAGTCAGATTATTGGTGGAGGTAATAATACATCAATGATAACATTTATGAATGCAGACATCGATTTTTGCCAATAAACAACTGAAAATGCTACACAATGTCCCTTTAAAGATGACACCAGCTGCTTATTAAATCATCTGAGTGTATGCACTCGTTGACATAATTTTCAAACAATTTATACCTCAGTGAGCAAGAGGCTGAGGAGATACCCACACACCAATGTAACTTGGCCAGAGAGCCACAAAAAGGTCCTGGGGCTGAGATCAATGCAAAAATGGTCTATTTATTCAGGACATCTGTGCACAAAAATGTGCCCAAAGTGCAAAAACATGATGAAGAGTGGGTAAAAACAGCAGCAAATGTTTCAGTCATTGACTATCATCAGTGCTACTGACATGTGTGCTTCACACAACATATACAGATACAGACAGATTCTTACCAGGTGTGGTAAATCAATCAGCTGGTGCCACTAATTAGATGAGTTTAACTATGAGGAGCAGAAGTATGACTACCAAGTTACAATTACCTGCCATATGAGCAGTATGCTATTCACAACATCCTCAAACACCAATACATGATAGCAGAATACATGACAAATGTACAAAAAACGCAACTGTACACAGAATGATAGAAAGGAAAGGACAGATTAGCATAGTCTGGATGTCGCACCCATAACAACGCCCTGAGTCTGTAGAAGGAAACAATTTAAAGAAAATCGTTTTTGGTCAATATGAGAAATATCAACCGGGAGCTGGGTGGGAGGTGTTAAATCATCCCCGTTGTCCAAGAAAAACTGAAGGGGAGGGATGTTGGTGTATAAACTGGCAACATCTAGTGTAAGCAAGAAAATGTGATCATCAGGAATTTGAACATGTGATAACTGATCAAGGAAATTGCTGGTGTCCTTCAGGTAGGATGGTAATTTCACCATCAGAGAAAGATCAAAATCTTAAAACTTCACACTAAACTAAGCTGAAATTATATGCGAGGCATAAACATAGTGTAGTCTGGTTTAGTTTTAGTTCACTTTGTTGCATATCTGTGGTCTACTGAAAAAAATATGACAAAGAAACCAGGGCAAGAAAAAGCAGTCTCAACCCCTAACACTCAGCCATGGTTGCTGAAGCTTCCTTGATTCTGCACCAGCAATCTTTTGCCTTTGGCTGCAGCACAGACAAGATGGCAGAGAGTGCAAATCAAGGTCTGAAACATCTATTATGTTCCAATCCCCATGCTACCATACTATATATTATGCAAGAAAAATATTTAGTATGTCCCAATACATAGTATGTCAAATGCAGTATGCCAAAAAAACACAATGTTCTACTACATCCGGTCATATTTTGCAGTATGTAAGCCAGCATGCTTTCTGACTATTCTCACCCACAGTCCTCTGCGCAGCGGAAGATATGTCACATCAGCTGAGCTGTAAACAGATGACCACTTGTTGACAGCGGTTTAAAAGCTGATTTGCAACTCTCATAAGCCACAATGAAGGCTGACAGAGAATTCAAATAAGTGATGAATGGGAATACTGATTGTTTCCATAAACAAAATAATGATAAAGATTGCCAACAGCAAAAGGACATGTATGAAAATAACAATGTAGTTTTACTGTGGTGAATATGTTAAAATTTACTTCAAAGTTAAAACCACATACATTGCAAAGTAACAGCAATAGCAGGTCTCTCCAGGTTGACCTATGTCTCTGGTGAGCTCGGTGAACAGCGTTTTGTTTTATTTCCAAGGTAACAAATACATGAGCAAGAGGGTCAAAGTTCAGGGCGCAATGTTATGTCAAGTTTTGAGACTGTAGTATGTTGCTATTGTGTGCAAACTGCATGCAACAGTGCATATTTTTTAAGGGCAGTTGCAGTACATACTAAAAGTAATTTGTGATTCGGAATGCACCCCTAACCACCAGTAGTCTAACTTCTCACATTGCTGCAGTGATGTAGGAGTGTAATCAGGGTATGTTCAGTATACCCTGAAATCAATCCTAACATGCTCATACCTAGTCACTTTTTTCTTTCATTATCTAGTTATAACATATTATCAGTATTTATGGAAGGTATGATCTGTGTGTCATAAGATCCTTTCCTCCTCCACGTCAGTGGTTATTAGCTTCACCATTGTGCAATATTTTTCGTCAAAATGGATTATCCTGCTGAGGTAGAGTGGGTTATTATTGAAAACATGATGTCTGGGTGGCTTTCTCTCATCATTTTGTTATATATTATGTTTGTTATATATCTTTCGTTGAGTTCAAAACGGAAAAAATGTCTTCAGATGAAACTGGATTTAATGGATGGGTAAGGTTGCAGCAGGCTTTGGATGTGTGTTTGCATGTGTGTGTTTGTGTGTCTTTGCTCTATAGCAGATAATCATCCAGCCATGTCATTGTGATGTCATTAAAGTAGAATAAGCTGGCATGTAGCTAAATTAATCCATGCATCCTCCTCTCCTGTCTGTCCTTCACACACACACACACACACACACACACACACACACACACACACACACAGACTTAATAGCCAGGTATGTTTCCAACATGATAATCCATTGATACTAAATCTTGAGCTATGCCAATCTTTTTGAATATTACAGTGACTTCAATCAGGAGAGTCTAGTTTATAATTTCAAAACTTTATGAGTAAAACAGACTTTGTCTTCAGTTTGGCCAAAGCTCATCAGTGACACAGGCAACAAGGTATAAAGACATGTGATGAGGAATATGAGTGTATACAGGTCAGCCATCATATCCAATATACTGTAGATGCACAAAGAGGCTCACTGATTGACAAGTGAAACAAAATGGAGCCTAAATTAAATACCAGAATACTTAGTTATGAATTGCTTTAGTTAAATGATCCATGTCAGAGAGCACCACGGTCCTGTATCAGCTTCCACTTAGTGTGGCTCTCTTTGGGTCACCAGACTTCACTCAGCCTGGGAACATAACCGAGCTGATCTGAAGTCAACCTGCTCCAGAGCACTTTAGCCATGCAGCACAGGTGACCATGGAGATCCACCTGGGTGAGTTGTAGTCAAAACAGCTGGGTGACACACTAATTGCCCTGCTCTGTGTCCAAAGCCCCTCAGACTCTTTCAGGACTATCTGGCTATATATATATATATATTAACATATTTTTATTGGTTTTAAAACAACATATAGACTGCTTTACAGCATTATAAAAGAAAAAAAGGGTATACATATGCACAAGTACACATATATACAGATAACTAGATATACACAGAACCTTTAAAAGCACAGGCAGTTGTAGAAGATGAAGGCCTTATCAGGGCCCATCCCATTGTGATTGGCTAGAAGATATAAAAAATGTAAAAATAAATTAAATATGACTTACTTTATGTAGAGCTGTCAAGAAAGTGGGGGTTAGAGTCTGGCTTTTATATATTGCAAGAATGGATTACAAATTCTCATAAATTTATCAGAAGAGCCATTTAATGTGAGTCTATGCATCTCGGGTTTGAGATGTTGCATCACTTCCCTCAACCACTGAGTCCAGCATGGCGGTTGAGGGTTCTTCCAGTGTAGAAGGGTTATTCTTTGTGCTAATATAGTAGCAAACTTTGTTACTTTGTGTTTAGATCCTGAGAGATTCTTATTTTTCTCTCCTGCTATGCCAAAGATGGCTGTCAGAGGATCTGAGTGAATTTTCATTTTAAAAATATGTGACAGTGTTTTGTAGATCGAATTCCCAAAGGTTGACAAATTAGGACCCAGCCAGAATGAGCATGCTAAGGATGCAGGAGAAAGTCTGCACGTCACAAGTGGAATCAACACCAGAGTACATTTTAGAGAGTTTGACTTTTGAGAAATGTAGGCGATGCAGCACCTTAAATTGGATGAGGCCATGTCGGGCACAGATGGAAGCTGTGTGGACCCCCTCAAGGGTTCTTTCCCAGTGCTCTTCTGTTACAGCCACCCCCAGCTCAATCTTCAATACAGACCTCAGATACTCAAGTGATGGGTCTTGTAGATTCGAAAAAAACTAAAAGATATTGCACCCTTTTTGGAGAGCTCAAAAGAAAACAGAGAATCCATTGGTGCTTCATCAGGCAAGTTGGGAAAAGAGAGTGTATAATTTTTAATATAACTACGAAATTTATTTTGTAGTTCAAAGGCAGGAATACTTCATCTATAAAAAGGACCAATCTGCCATCCATACTTCTTCCTAATACTATTCTTTATTATTATTCTTAACATATTGTAATGACAGGATGTCATGTCTGTTTTGTCCTCATTTCAGTTCTGCATTTCCTGTTTTATTTTGTCTACTCTCCTCTCGTTTCAGATTACTTCCTGTCAAGTTTCC